GATGTCCTTGTGAAAAATCCTCACGACCTATTAAAAATTTAAAGATGGAAATTTACTAGAAATGCGTTCAAATATGGGACCCATATCGAATTTTTCACAATTCGAAAGTTTTCATGGACGATTTATTCTAGTTATTAATTAAAACTTTAACTAAAAGGGCACGGGTTATCTTTAGAGTACGGCCATAAAACTTCATATATATGATTTAGGCTAAAAGTCAAAATATATAGAGTATGCATAACAAAATTTGCAAACAAATTTTTCCATACATATATTATTGGGACAGTCTAATGTAGTATGTATGTATGTGCCCAATATTTAGTAGAAACATGTGGAAATATTTGCAAACTGATAAAATCTAATTTGGGTAAGGCGATAAATGAAATTGCATAACCTAGAAATAGAAAAAAAAAATTCATAAAATAATAAAGTTTTTAGCTTTGTACGCAAATATTCAAAATAGAGAAGAAGTGCAAATCACGAATATGTTTGGATGAATGATTACATATGAAGATTCGAATAGAGTAAATAACCAATAAATAAATGAGAAAAGTGCACGAAGCAGCAGCAGCATACAGACGGATGAGTGCAAAACATAAAGTAAAGGAAAAAAATTCAAGAAAACAATGTGCAGCAAATACAAAATAAAATTGTGAATTGTTAAAAATAAAAGAAATTAAAAATGAAAGCCGACCACAAAGCGAATTAGAGACACACAAAAGAGAGTTTCTGGTTAGAGGATGCTCATGAGCATGGTATGGCGGCTGAGAAACCTCGCCGAGAACGCGCACGCGAGTACGGAAAATCGGCACACAAATATAGCTAGACACCAGTGTTGCCGCGGCCGAAAAATAAAAGTTAACCAAAATCGTTACACAAAGTCTAGCAAATCCCGTAAAAATTAAGCAACTTATTTAATTAATTTGTGGTTTTCTTACCAAGCTTGGTGAATTGGTTATAGAAATAAAAAACAAGCAAACAAGTAAGTAAAGACAATCTAAGGCTCAGTTTTGTCGTCAATAGTAAGGATTTTTTTTTCGTTGCCTAATTTGAAAACTATTACCCACTCATTCTTTCAGGCTTTCAACATATACTCCTATAATAGTTACCTGCCCTTTCGCTAGTTTTTTGAATGTATGCATAAAACGAGTTTGGTATCATGTTATCCATAATGTGCATGTTGATCTTGTCAAGCGAATAAGGGGTTCTAAGGTCGCCTGCGAACTGTAAATGGTTTTTATGAGAAACGATTTCATGACAGAAAAACACTCGAAGGTTTGAAAATGCAACGACTGCGGATCGGGAGTTGCGTAGAGCAACATTTCCTGGAACTTTATACGGGATCCTAAAACAAAATTGAAAAATTGATTGAAAATTGACTCATAGTCAGAAATGAATTTTTGAAGAAAATTATCCTTTTTGAATATTTTAATAAAAAAAGGCAGGAAAAAAATTAATAAATTTTGTTTAAATTTAAGTAAAACGGCAACACTGGCCCACACATGTACGCCTACGCTGCATGTTAGCGCATAAATACTACGTGGTTGTATGACAATTGTTTTCTGCAATTTTATTTACAACTTTTTTTACTTTTGAAATTTCTCTTGTTTTTTTTTGATCTTTTGAAACGGAAACTGCTGCACGAGCGAATAAGTATGTAAGTCTATGTGTACGTTTTTTTGAGCTTCTTGCTTGGACTTTACAGAACACATAACTACGTTATTACGTCAAACAACAACAATGCGATTAGATTATACGGGAAAACACAGCAACAATTACGTACAACGGAAGGAAATATGATTTTTTTTTTTAGATTTTTATGGTTTTAAAAAACCTAAAAATAAAATCATATTTTATTTAATTACTTTATATACTTGCCGTGCATGTCTTTACGTACATTTATTCGTACATCATCGTTATGTCGTCGTTGTTGTTGACCGCGCCGATGCCAGCTGGAAATTTTTATTTTTTTTTTGTTGTCAAGTTGTGTGTGCTTGTAGCGTGGAAATATGGGCGTTTGGGTGTGTTGTGACTGAAAAATTTCAGCTGATTTTGATTTTTATTGCAGGTTTTCTAATCGCTTCAACAACTGACTGACTCGCTGGCTGACTGACTGACGGCCTGGCCTGATTGCCTGCGCGACGCGCCCGCTTATTTGTAGTACAACGGTGTTTGCTATTGTTGGCGTTTGGCCCAAAAACGTTGTGTGTTTTGATACGATGATGTCGTCGTAGAGTGTAGGTATGTTCGTGTGTATGTTCGTAGCTCGTGTTCGTTTTGTTCGTAGTTTTTCGCAGTTGAATAATTACAATTTAATTTTTTTACGTTTATCTAACTTATTGGGAGAAATAATAATTTGTTTTAGAATATTTTGTATACAGTTCTCTTTTCAACAAAATTATTTTATTCCTCAACTATGCTTTTATTTGTGGTTTCGTTTTCGTCACGCGTCTAATTTATTTTCGGAAATCATTTTTAAATAAATTTTTAAATAATTCGCACATTTTCCGTTTAACGCTCGATTTCTCAGCTCTTTCTACTTTTTTTTTTATTTCACGTTTCTTTATGAAATATTTATTTCGTCTGGTTGTTCTTGTGACTTGCGTTATATTTTTGGCGCTCGTCACAGCGTTTCGCTGATTTTCTGCTTCGATTCTCCAATACTAAACGCAGTTGTAGTTGTGTCAGCGCGTTTTCTATTTTATTGATTTTCAAACAATTTTTTTTAGTTCATTAATTAGCACAAGGTCGGGGTGTTAGTAGTTAGTTGTTAGCAGAAAAGTGAAAAATTATAATAAAATATAATTAGAAAGAGATTATTATGCTTCAAGTACGATATGTATATACATAGGTATTAAAAAAAAGTGACATCACACCTTTCACAACAAGCACGCTTCACTAAAATTGGCACTCGAACCGTAGCAAAGAACACTCCCAGAGTGACTAGCTACCGCGCTGAAACTCAACAAGCAAGCAGCATCGTGATTTTACGCTTCCGTAAGTGTTTTTACTCGGCCTTTTTCGCAATGTTTGTTTGTACTCACTTTTTCGCCAACATTTACTTCAACTATAATTTTTATTTTAGAATCTATTATCTACTACGTTCACACACTACATACATATGTACACATATCCAATGACATAAGCTCTAAAAAGCCAAATAAACAAAAATGCTCATATGCCGCGGCAAATATGCATTTCGCTTTATCACTTGCTGACGACAATGCAAACGCGATACGCATGATTCCAACAACATAGCCCGCCCTATTGTTGCCTACTGTCGGCTGATAATCGCTGCTGGTGCTTGCCACACCACCACTCCAACGGATGGTGCCAAAGAATAATGTGTAAAAAATTTATTTGCAAACGCGCTAAAAACAACAAGTTGTTAAAGCCGAATAATTAAAGTGCAAATCTAACCGAGTACTAAAAGAAACTAAGCCAAAATAGGCGTATGGTACTGAAATTTATCGCTGCTACGAGTGACAGCGGCGCTGACGTTTGGCAGCGGCTACATCTCAGCAACGTTTTCCGAGCAGGAAGCAGCCTTTTTTCGGCAGCCGCAGCGCCGCATGCCACAAAATACCAGCTCATATTCGATATTTGCGTTGCTCTGACTCGCTTGCACACACGTATTCACCTGCGCCCGCTACCGAGATTGCTATGCTCGTCGTTCTCGTTCTCTCTCATTCCCTGGCAGCCCCACTCTATAGGTAGGCAGGCAGGCAGGCACACCGCCAACCCAATGTTCTAGCAGACGAACGTGCGTGACGCTCAGTTCTGTATGCATTTTTTCTGCATTAGCGAATACCGAAAAGCATTCGTAATATGCACTTGAGTATGGCGAACGAATAGTTGCATACGAGGGTTGTTAAATAAGTTTGTGACTTTGAATTTTCCGTGTTGCGGCTTGAATGATAATGAAATTGAAGAAAAAAAAAACAAATTGAGCGAAACTCATAGAACAAAATTCCAGAAATAATATTGCAATATATTTTCTAATATAAACATTTATTTGTGTGCTTTATTTTTATTTTCCTTTTTATAATAAACTCCTAGTTTACTTAATATTTGAGATATCTCAATCTCTTTATATTTATCAATATCACCTCTATCTTTATATCTAAATTTTATCTAAATCTTCATCATTGTTTTTATCTTTGTGATCATGTTATTTCATCTTCATCCTTATCCCCAACGTGATATGTATCTTTACTTTCACCTTTATTTTGATTGTTATCTGCATTTTCGTATTCATCTTTAATTTCTACTTAATTTTCCCTCGCCTTCGTCTTAACCTTTATCCATCAACTTCATCTCCATCTCCATCTTCATATTCTTAAACACATATTACCATATATTCACCCTCATCTTCTCTTTAATACCGATCTTAATCTCTGTATTTTTATATTTGACTTTGTCTTTGTTGTTGCCTTTGTCTTTATCTCTGTCGTTATCACAAAATTCATAACATTATAGTTGCGATCCCGTACGAGTCCGGACTAGTCAGAAATAGTCAGAATCAGTCAGATTTTACTGGAAATCGATCCCGTACTCGGTTCTCTGACTATTGAGTGGACAAAAAAGAGAGTAAATACGGTTCTCTCTCTGTCAGAAGTTACCAGTTTTAGTCCGAGAATTTTTTGCTGGTAAATTCTGGTAAATGTGTCAAACGATCAGCTGTAGTGTGTTTGGCAACCAAATTGTAAACAAAAGAAAAGTGCACTCTGCTAATTCATGTTGAAAATTATTTAATTACTTGTCTAAGTGGATTCTAATGAATTTGAAAGTATTTTTGGTTATTTACATGTGTGAGCTGAGTGTGTTTACATACAAACCAAGCAAAAATTTACAACCAAAATTTGGAGGTTATGTTGAAGTTGACAGAAGTTACAATTTTTTACTAGAAAGCGATCCCGTACTTTTCAATGTTACTCTCTCGCTCTGAGCGAATTTTTATTTTTTGACAGTTTTAGTAGTCCGAGTCCGAGGAATACGGGATTGCACCTTATCTTTGTCTATATAATTTTATTTGCCTTTGTATTTGTCTCAGCTGTTCGTTTTCTGTTCACGCATTCGCCTTATACACTTATGGACAAAATAATAGGTGTACACAGTTTTTGTTTAATAACTTTTAAATCATTTGTAATTAAGACATTTTTGACCTTTGTTTTGTATAAAGGACGACACATTGACCGCTGTCTAGTACAAAGACATTTTGTAATATGCTATGCTGTCATATTAAGGAACAAAACATGCCACTGAAATACGTACTTATTATTTTGTCCATAAGTGTACATACTTTGTCGTGGCGTATTTAACGTAGTCTCGGATTCCAGTAAGAGTTTCACTCAAAAAAATTTATTCCGTCGTTTAAAGTACAAAACCGCGTAACTGACATTTGCTGCCAAAAATTGGATTTGCTTACACAAGCTCTCGGCTCAATCCTAATCCATTCGTCCTGAAATATACTAGCCAGAAATGTGATTGCTTTATAAAAAAAGAAAATCGTTTTGAAAAATTAGTGTGTTTACTCTCTAGAAAATAATTTATGCAACCTCACATATGCGGTTTTGTATTTTGTTGATACGCCGTTTTGTACTTTAAACGACGATTCGTACGAATATTCATAAGGCATTAATCGTGGCGTAAAAAACATTACTGAAAGCATGCATATGTAAACTTTATATCATGTATGGGGACTCTGTTCCATCAATTTCATAACTAAAGATGAAACATGAAACTCCCAAGACACACCGGTTACCAAGAGACCATCGAACTTGGACCTGAAAATGCTGCAAGTTGTATGCAAGTAAGACTGTATTGAATTTTTCTGTATATATGTACATATGACTCTAGTTTTTTGAACAAGAATTTTATAATTTTTTCGTTAAAGTAAATATTTTCGGGTGCAATTGCAGATAATCCGTGCCAAATCACGGGCTGGGTCGTGCCTCACTGAATTTTTCCGCGTGCGTGTTTTCGAATATGTTTTCTTCACTAATTCCGGCATGGAAAAATTATGCCTGCGCCCATATCTAATCCACACCGATCATTACCTTATTGATTCACCCTCGTATATACATAGATACGATCGACCCATGAACCAAAAATACAAGATCACCTAATCAAAGAAGCAAGAAAAAAGTATATTTCTGAGTGTTTTTGACATCTGCCTAAGAATGAAAACAAACAAAGAAAACGAAAAAGGCGCGGTGATTGAGTGCGATTAAATTGGTATTTATTATAAAATATACAAAGTGAAACTTGATGACAATTAGCAAAAAAAGTTCATAAAATATGGTTTTCATGATTGAAAGTGTTTTACAATCGCATATCATTACCACGGGTCGATTTTTCAATGCCAACGTTCTGGCCACAAACGTGCACCCACTTTTCACGCAAATTTACGCCTTTTGGCAAACCAAACATACGCACAAACTTGTTCCGATCACACAGCACTTTATTTTATATCATAAATATGTAATAAACCAAANAAAAAGACATCAGCCAAACCGTTTTTGCGTTCAGTACAATATGTTCAACAAAGAGTACGAATGCGCGTGTGAAAAGAAGCAGTTTAAGAAGTGTATACATAAAAAGAAAAAAGAAAGTGACATGAAAAAGAAGCAATATAAACTCAGATGGCAGACAGACGGTCAAGGTGGGCAAATCTGCAATTTTAAACAGTGTGCTATGTACTCGTAACTTAATGTACATACATAGATATTACTAGTACATATGTTTGTATGTATGTATGTATTTGATGTAGAGGAAATTTTTTGAAGACAAGAAAAACAGCCGCATTTCAAAGTTATCAGGTATGACAATATACATATGTACATTAGACTGCATCACTCCCCATACAAAAAAAAAAAAAATAAATCAGTACTGTTTTTCCATTGGAATTATAAAATCTATAATATTTTAAGATGTCCTCCAAATTATTTTGGATAAATATTAAGATTAAGCGAGCTGGACCGATTTGAAAATACCTCCAAAAATGGCGTTTTTTATGAATGAAAATAGTTTCTTTAAGATGTTTTTTGAAAAATCCTCTCAAATGACAAAAAGGTTTAAGCTTAAAAAATGTATATAAAAATATTAAAAAAAAAAACAAAAAAAAATTGTTGAACGGAATCGTAATAATGAAATTTTTGATGCTGTTTTTTAAC